TATGCGCCCCTCGTACGTGGTGCGCGTATTGTGGCAGGAAGGAGAGGGATTACTTAAAATGTCACGAGGTTGGGGAAAGACCTGGGCTGGTGGGTCGGCAGCGTGAAGGCGGTGTGATAATGCTAAGGGTGACACCCTGTATCCTTGATAAACGTTGCACAAAACAATAAAAAAATAATAAGTTCATTTTGTTTCTTTAAAAGTTGCCTAACTATTGAAGCATACGCAACGGTCAAACCAAGAATACATTCCATCGTAGTTCGTCTACAGCTATATGTAGAAATTAGCTGACCCAGCCCGACTTTGTATCGCCTACCTAACAGACAATTCATCATAATCTGTCCAACCGTTCTGAGTCATAAATGTTTAACTATCACTATTTTGTATTGATATAGCCTGCTATATTGTTGACTGTATAATGTAAATTGAAAACTGTCTTGTCGATTTTTTCCAGGATTGCGCGTTTGCGAAACATCCTGTATAAGGGCAGGGGTGCAGATTGTGAGTTGCGTCGTCGCCTTTTTGATTATTTCCACCGGTTTAGGGATGATTTATATTCGCGCGTCTCACGGGAAGCGTTGATGTCTGCCGTTTGGTTTAAGTGAATATTCTATAAAAATACCGGGCGACTTACCAGAGTGAGGTTGACAATGTTTCAGGGACTTTGAGGTTACACACATTATTTTTGATGCTTACCATTTCACAGCTCGTTTTCGTCAGACACTTTTTACAGCACTATAAAGAGCAAAACTTTGTCATGTTTTACAGGGCATTCTTATGCTACGAGTACAATAGTATTTTGGAACTTGTGGTCGCGGATTGAGAAAGGTATCAATCTAGTTTATCTATGGTATGGTTATAATTCCAACAAGGACTATTATTGCAAGTACGTCCTTGACAGCCTTCTTGTATGTTGGTTCGCGTATCTAACTACAATGTTATCGCAGATGTATTCTCGAATTTCGCTGAAGGCGTTAGTGCAATGGGGATGGTCATCCTTAGGTGTATATGGTCGTATCATACGACATCATTGACGTATATGTATCATTCGCAATCAATGTCATGTTTTGATCAACCCATTATCTCGTAAATGTTCCTGACTCTAATATTTTGAACAATATCGTCTTGACCCAAATAAGTACGCCAAAATTGTGATGCTATTAAATAATAGGTACAAGGTACTTTTTCATAGGGAAAAACGAGAAAAAATAAAGGTGGGCCAACAAGGTTAACCATTCTAGAATGGCGCGACACTTTCCGGCTCCTCTAAAATTTGGCTTATCTACTTACCCTCTTACGGAACGTAGCAACGTGATGAATGCTACGGCGCAGGTAGCTTCGCACGAACTCGCGTCTAGGGAGGTCTAGTTATCGATAGTTGACCTCGATTTACTGTGTTTGGTGTAAGTTCTAAAAACTTTATAACAATAAGGACTCTCTAGATGGTTATAACTCTAAATTATTCTCACTCTAGGTTCGTACCTACGTCAGTATAAATAGAGGATCAGAGGTGCTTATTTAAGTAAGGTCTACTACTCTGGAATGTAATAAGCAGGAATAACGTGGAATTTAGAGTAGGGAACAGAAGGAGTGTATCTCATGTATATCATAAAGACTTTGAAATTATGTCTTGCCATGAGCCGGCTAGGCGGCTAGTTAGAGAGTACTGTCGCTATTTCACCAGAGCGTCACTATTCGCGACGTCACAGCTGAGGGGAGAACGGGGCAAATTGACAAAGGGCCGCCGAGTGGATGGTCGTTTTGCGTCTGACGGCGCGGGTGCGGAATCCGTGATGAGCCCACGCCTCCGGGACGCATAAAAACAACGGATCCTGGAAAATATGACGCCTAGTGCGGCCGCGTGATGGCGCGAAGATTCAGGCAGGAGGTGACATCGCTCGCGTAGAGTAGCCGCCACTCAATCCCATGTGTGGAGTTCAAAGGACTACTTTTAAGTAACTCAACACAACAAATACGATGGAACTTGAAGTTGCAATGATATTTTTTTAATATTCATATTTTTTGTGAAATAAAAAACAAATAATATCAGATAGATAATAGCCACATATTTACACCAAATCAAGGATATACTCGTAAACGTATAGATTCGAGTAGGCATTAAAATAACAGGGAAAATGATTAACAAAATATTTTTTCTCTTCTAATTTGTGTGTCAGTAAAGAGTACGTTTCAATGTACTCGGAACAAAAACAAAGTACCCCAAAAATAATGGAGAGGTTAATCTACATAAAAATGAAAGTGCCAGACTCCCCGTATCTACTGCAGCCCCGGCCCGTCCCCGGCGATAACGGCAGATCTTTATTATGATACCTTCGGTAAGCAGTTAAAAATGCCGAAATGCTTGTTCTTACCCTCCATTTTTCTCTGTGACAAGGCTTGGGAAGATTTATTTAGGAGGAAAGAGTTCAAGGATACCGAAAAACTTACAAGCTACAGGAAAAGTCTCTGGGCCCGTATCACGAAACGACTCAAGTATGAATACATTATTACATACGCTGAAAACAGATTTAATCATACGGGCCTACGAGTAAAAATAAAGCTTCGGATTTTTGAAGACCAAATTTTTTTTACAATTACGAAACTTTTAACTGGTTTATTAATTGTTGTATTACTTTTAATATTTAATTAAGAAGGCTTTAAATTATGATTTTTAAAATTCAAATCCATTCTACCCGAGCTCGGCTACCTAACCGTTTTTATTCCCATAAACACTTTTATGATTCCACATTTGTTTTCATTCTTTTACACAACGGCTTTTGAATTGAAGCGATTGCGTATGAAATCATGGAGCGTGTATGTTCGTATGATTAATGGTCGGGCCGCTTATTACCGTTTTGTTTATTCTGTACCGACCCTCCTTATGCAAAGCGCGGCCCTTCACTAGCGGGGTCATAAGTGGTTTTGCTGAAGGGCCGAACATTAGTTATGCTTGGAATTTCACATTGTGTATCAAACAGTTGTCTTAATATTTTGTTTTTTTTTAAACGAATTATTCAGGAATTTGATGACCCTGGTTTTCCATATCGTTTACAGTTGTAGTAAATCTATACCATCGTTAGTTCGTCTCAGCCGATTGACATCCACTGCTGGACAAAGGCCTTCCCCTAGGATTTCCACAAAGACCGGACCTACGCCACCCGCATCCAGGCACCTCCCGCGACCTTCACTAGATCGTCGGTCCACCTAGTGGGAGGCGTGCCCACACTACGTCTTCCAGCTTTAAGTTAAATTTAAATCTATATTTTACAATCATTTAAATAATATCTTTACAATCCAATTATCACAAAACAGTTATCATCGTTTCAGGAATTTGTTTGAAACGTAAGCCATTTTGTCTAATTCTAAGAATTGCCGGCTGTCATTATCAAGAAATTACCTAAAGAGCAGGGGCTTAGATAAAAATCGTATTACGTTTTATTAAACCAATTTCGCCTGGAAAGGCTTACAAAGTGAACGAGCGGCAGCTTATTAGAATTAGCTGTAGGTACTTAACGTTATTTTTCTGGAAGTCTTTTGTCGAGTGAAATAATAAAAAGCTTTACATTGATCTAATAGGTTAACGAAAATTTGATATTTACCATAAAATATGCTCTTAAGTGTTATTAATAAGGACTATCAAGATTTTTTCCAGTATGTTCTATATTTTATAACTCGAAAACTTTAACGGTTAGGTATAGAATTAGTAAAATTTACCGTTTTGCTATTTTTGCACCTATTTAATTAAAACGCACTCAGGCCGAGACATTCCATAAAAAGAAAGAGTTTTGAATTTTCAGTTCTGTAACGATGTTCACTCTCTTTGGTAGTTTGATGTGAAAAACGCCATAGATCAAGTAGCACTTGTATCGGAACGGGCACAGGTTAATTTCAGCTGAAAGCGCCGTCGGTCGCAACATTCGTCACTATGCGCGCAGCACGTCGCGTCGCTCCATCGCAATGGAAATTTACGCCCGCGTTTGAATTTCAGCAAAGTCTGCATTTCCATCCAGTGCCATTTTCATTCCACTACACAATAGTCGTATCAGTACAGCCATCAATAAACTTCATCGAACTAGTTTCCCTACACCCGTCACTCATCAATAGAGTCTCTTCATGTGTGGCGGTTACAACCGTATCGCGTGAAACATCGCCGGCAAACAGTGGAACTTTTGAAAGTTATATATTAAACTGCGCGTCGGTATAGCAAAGTTTTGTTTGAAAGGGCAGATACGAGCGCGTTCGCCGATGACGTGCGGTTTGCGGCGGCGCTCGTCGCGCCGATGCGCGTCTGCTGGTGACAAATATTTTCCGCCCGCCTCAAAATTTCATCGTGTAACGCGAACTTTGAACTCGACTTTTACCTGCAGATACTCCACACCCGAATCCACTCCGCTTATCCGATCAAAATGGATTCCTACTTTCTTTTCCGCTTTAACTTTAGGAAGTTAAGAAATCTGTCGGGCACTTCCAACAAAAGAGTAGTGAAGAGCAAAAAGTCGGACGTTCCACTGTTTTATTTCGTACCCGCTTTCCTTATTCGGTTGTATTGCGGAGTTTCCAATCTTTTCTCTTTTCAAGATCTTAGCGATCTCCGACTCCTGTCTCGTTCCTGCGCCGCTTCACGTTGTACGCGTCGCAATTTAAATTTTATTTCCGTTTTTATTCTTCTGTACATTTTTTCATTTACGTCGACTCATGTTCAGTTCGAGGCTTCGTTTAAAGCAGATGTTAAAAACTCTTGTATTTTTTAAAATCACGCTATAAAGTTTTATATTGGACCGACAGTTTATTTGTTATTTTTCTTTTTATTGTTCCATTTCTTTAAATTTTAACAGAGACAAGTGATTAATTCATTATGTCTGTGTTTTAAAATGTAACGGGACATAGAAACTTTAAAATCTACTGAATGCCTGATTCTGAGTGATAAATCATTTTGCTCAGTTTAAAGCCGATCCCCAAATTAAAAATGGCCAGTATCTCAAACGTGCGTTTGGTTCCAGCTTCGACGTGCGCGGCAAGCACCTGTCGGAGGCTCGGCACTGGTCGGCGCCGGAGGTGTTCGGGCCGCGCGCGCACTTCTCCACGGCGCCGCCGCCCGCCGCGCTGCTCGTGCGGGACGTCAAGCGCCGCGACGAGGGCGTCTACCGCTGCCGCGTCGACTTCCGCAACACGCAGACCACCAGCTTCCGATACAACCTCACTGTCGTCGGTGAGTGCCCCCAAGGTCTTCAAGCCACGAGCTCCCACAACTGGTGAGCGACTTCAAGCGTCACGACGAGGGCGTCTACCGCTGCCGCGTCGACTTCCGCAACACGCAGACCACCAGCTTCCGATACAACCTCACTGTCGTCGGTGAGTGACCCTAAGGTCTAAGCCCGAGCTAAGCTGCTGGTGCGGGTGCGGTACCACTGCCGCGTCGACTTAAGCAATACGCAGACCATCGGCTTCCGATGCAACCTTACTGTTGTTGGTAAGTACTTCTGGGGTTTCAAAAATTGATTTATTTAACAATTTAAAGGCCCTTTTCTGGGCACACAAAAAAAATACAGCTTTCCCTACCACTACTTGGGGACAACATATTGGCTGGCGCTGAGAACTCGCGAAAAACACTAAAGATCGGTGAATGAAAAGACATAGCATAATAAATCACAAATAGACAGCCTTAGGCCTCGATATGCACGTTAATAATTCATATTAATTAATATTATAATTATTAATAATATGAATTATTAACGTAATTCATGACGTTCTATAAGAATAGTTTCTTAAGAGATAATGCTGCTGGAAAAGAAGCCAAGCCTGTTGGAAAATCTGAACGATATATTCTCAGTGTTTCACGATTTTTGTATTTTACGACCAAAACTCCAAAGTAATCCCACCCTTGGATTCGTCGAAACATGGCCCTCGCGAGATAAACGGTAGCCACCTAGTTAGGCGTCCGGCCTAGAAAGGTTAATCCCTGTTTCATAGCATTTATCTTACTTCGTTTAACCGCGAATACCTAAGCTGTTATAATAAAACTATCTGTAAATTCTTTTTATAGCTTACTCTTTAAGAAGATGTAGTTCTTATACCTATGATGACGCCAGTGGGTTTCAATTCCAAGTACAAATTTAATGTTACCGACAGTTCCCAAAAGCCTCAACTCCCAACCTCTAGTGATCTGTGCCTGTGAGCTCGGAACGCGGCGCGCACGCATCAATCAAGCCGTATCAATAACCCGCCGAGTCTTGGGCTCATACGTATTCATAAACCGCCGTAATTGTTTGGTTCGGAAGCGATGAAATTTACGCCACCACTACCTGCGGGTGGGGCGACCACGCTTAACGAAGTCTTACTATCTGTCGGTATAGTTCAGTCAGAGAGACACCAGCGGATATTGCATTGATAGCAGGTGAAATATTATCACTAATATTGATTTAGAGAAGTAATCCTGTTATTATAGTCGTTATTATATTACTATTGTTGTAAAAACTGGTAATAAAATCACAAGCTTCCTCTTTGTGGATAAAAAAAAGTAACTCATGATTTTTTGTACTTCCATACCTCACTGATTTTTACATTGAGCTTTCGGTGGGGTAAAAAATGTGCATTATAATGAAACTACTGATACCCATTTAGTCCCAATCGATTCTGGGACTTTTGGACCGCCTGTTTTGAATAAATCTAAGGATAAGTAAAACAATTTTTTCATTGTTCAATTTCATCAGTCACCATTATGTACAGTCAAAACCAATAAAATATTTTGTCTGTACTTTACTTAGAATATTATCCTGTTTAGCCATGTCGTGTTGTCACCCTACCTGTGGTGTCCCAGACAAACGGCTGCTGCACGCCGTCCTGACTTATGGCCAGACTTATAGGCTCGCCCCGAGGTTTATGGCGTCGAGTTCCTAGACTCTATTAGTGCACATCTACAAATGCGAATTCCCTACCTTGGATGTATGGCTCTGGAGTTCCATTACAACGATTTAAATCGTCCTTAATTGTTTTTATTTGTTTATTTAGTTTTTGTCTAGAGGGGAAATGTAGCATGGAAATAAAATATCCATGAAAATATTATTCAATAAATCATTAATAGTGACCTGTAATCATATAAACGCTATGATGATGATGATGATCTTTATGTAGTTTTAGTTTTTGAAGTTACTAAAACATTGTTTTGATATTCCATCAGAGGTAAGTACCTAGTTTGGTTCAAAGAGTCTTTGTTAAATACCAAGATTTTTATATGTATACTACGACTTTAAAAATAATAACATGTAACATAATATTACCTTGGATCGGTATCTGACGGTTACTGTCAGAAGTATAAATCATCAAAATATTTACTTGTTCCAAACTCCAATGAGGCAAATAATTAGTTGTCTGTAATATTATGTTGCACAACATTTCCCAAAGTTCGGCATCGATAGCAAACTTTTGGAATGTTCAATCAGTTCGGAGCAGTCTTTGGCATTCTATATTCATTAGGGTTGGTTAATTAAATCGATTATTAATTTAATTAGGGCATTCCATGTCAGCGAGTCGCGCAATATCGCGCCCGCAAGCGCCGGAGTTGGGAGCTATTGTGGACTCCGATTGCAAGGAGCTTTTTATTAGTTTTACATTTTATTAATCGAATTAAATTTAATTTAATGTTGTCTAATTAACTTACGAGTATTTTTGTACAAGTAATTTTGTAGGTATGACTTAAGGGACATTTTATGAAAGCTTTTATGTATTGCTACTTTACTTTGTACAAAAATACCAAATTAATTAAGAAAGATTATTTGTTACCTGTTTGTGTTTACACACTCATCTCTACTCACGGCTTAACCTACGTGGTTCTTAATTCACAGATTGTCTTTAACTATAATCCCGTGAACAAAAATGCGGTCGTAGAGCGTCAGTTGATAAAATTCAGAAGCATAAACAACATATATTTTACTCTTGCAAACTTTCATCTCCTACGAGTATTCAATTCCACACAAGTTTGCTTTGGAAGTCAAGTTAGCTTTGTTTTCTCCACGGTGCAATCTATCTCCATCTCAAAATTAATTAAAATTTGTCAGTGGTTTCGGCGTTAATTGCAGCGAAATGCAGACCGACTTTCATATTTATAATACATTTAGCATAAATCACTAATAATCTTACATTGAAAACTGTAATACTACTAACGTGTACAGGGTACGAGTACCTACCCGAAACGAAAAGATTTATCATTCAAACTACATGAAAAGAACAATTTTGTGAGGTAAACATTCAGGTAAATAATTTTCTAATATAGTAGCTAAGAGAATATCCATTGTTTGTTCTTCACGGGTGATTTTACAAAACGGCGCTATACAACCTCTGTTCTTCTTTATATTTATCTAGGGCGTTCCTACTAAAATCTCATTTAACGCAAAAACCCCGTGTTACTCCAGGTAATTTAATTTATTATTTATAACTTAAAACCTCAGCTTCGGTTAATAAAATTGAGCTTAACTACAAAACTTTTAGGAATTTCGAGCTTTACATCGAAAAAATAAGGTTTAGTGGTGATTTTTCCCGTGTCAGGTTGTGCTTCGACAATGGTTCCCTGAAGTGCTGAAGGTTGCTATAAAAGAATATTTCGGCCATTTTACATTTTTTGCTACGACTGTTTGATTAAATTTTTGAGAATATACCGAGGAGGGTAATTTGATACTTATTCAGTTTAAGGATTAGGTAACATTACCATCCTGCAATTTCATGATATTATGAATGATATTTTCGAGTGAGTTGAGCGTGTTGAATTAGATAATTATAATTTTTGCCTTTTTCTATTATTATAAAATGCACAAAGCGTGAAGGGGACTGTTTTGCAAGCGATCTGTAACTTCACCCATCTACCGGAATCTCTTCTTCGACTGACCCTCCTGTGTACATGACTAACATAAATTATACCTTTACTGTCTGAGTGCACGCGGAAGTTTTGACAAAACCTCCCAAGACAAAACTATTCAAACATGCGGGTGCTTGATTTCAACTAGTACAATCTTTATTACTTTCCTCACGAGCCCCTAACGTGACGTTTGTATGACGCATGTCACCGTAACGGCCTCACTGACGACGCGACTAAATAAATAGCCTTCGGTTAAGTTGAAAGAATGTTGTCGTCATAACTCACAGTTTGCGGCGTGAAACAAGTTGTGCGCTCGGCGATCTAATGTGGATGTGTATTTCTTGGACTACTTTTAGTGGTTATTTTATTGAACGGGAATTAAACACTTTGAAGGTCTTTCATTTTTTTGTATTTCTATTAACTCTACTCACATTATGTGGTGGATGTAGGTATAGCTGCATAGCAGACTGAGAATATAATAATGAGATGAGTTTATAACATCTACATCGTCTGTTTGACTCTATTTTTATTGTGTTCATCAATCCTCCATTCAACTTTTTCGCATAATTAAAACTTTAAATGTATCTTAGGCAATCAATTTGCATATTATTTCATTTGCATTTACATATTTTATTTTAGATAATCGTTATTCAATTCAGCCTTAATTTGTTTTAGTTCGTACCCGTAAAGGAAACATTTACCGATTTGCTTCGTCTTTGAAAATACACAATATTTTCAAAGAAAAGATATCCCCTAAAAGTATCAGCGAGATTATTTCAATGGCCGCCTCTTCCAGCGATCGAGTCCCGCTATCTCTATAATTGGAGTCTTGCCAAACAATCGTTAAGGGAACAAATAAGGTACAAAAGGAGCAGTTTTTTGTTGCGTTTCCAAACTGAGTGACCTTAGGCAAATGCCAGGGAAATGCTAATCGCTCCATTCCGCCACTTCTGAAGGTGAGAGGTGCAGGTAATGCCGTCTACACTCGTGGAACGAATATTACGTACATATTATTATAATAATAGCTATCTATAAAACTCTACTTTTTTGTTGTTTTGACCTTTGGTGTCTAAAAGTACTCGTAAAAAACTTGGTTGGTTTAAATTTAATTTTGAATGAAAGAGCAGATTTCAAGGCGTAACTTGACCCCCCCTTTACTAGACCATTTTCTGTAAAAAAAGTCTTGTTTGATTCATCTTAAAGCCCATGAGTCCATATTTTCCGGACGACTAACTTTCCACGAAAGAAACAAACTTTCTAGCAGCAGGTTATTAAACAACGTACCTGGTGTAACCCCAGGTGTTTTACTTACATACCAAGATCTCATTCTTACATTATCTAAGATGTGTTGTTGGCGTGAT